TTTTTTTTTTTTTTTTTTTTTTTTAGAGAGAGAGGAAGGGAAAGGGATAGAGAGATAGAAACATCAATGTCCTATCGGCTGCCTTTTGCGTGCCCCTTACTGGGGATCAAGCTGCAACTCGGGCCTGTGCCCTGACCCAAATCAAACCAGGGACATCTTGGTCATGGGTCAACCCTCAACCACCAAGCAACACTGGCTGGACAAGCTTCAGAGTTTTTCAAGTCAGATCTCCTTATTACTCCTGCTGCCAGGAAGGTCACTCTTGTGAGGCCGCAATTGCGAGCCTCTTCAGTCACCCTCTTGGTCAGGTCCAGGGCAGAGTTGAGTCCTGGAGTGGCAAGAGCCATTCTAACCCAAGCAGGGGTCCATGGTTGGAAGAGGGGCAAGCTCAGAGCTCTGTGATCAGGGCCATGATGAAGTGGCCCTTGTCCACCTTTTCAGACTCAGCTTTGTCCCCAGCCAGCACAGATCTTGGTTCCAGCCACAGTCTAACTGGGTGTCCAATGCTCATGCTCCTGCAAGGCATCACCTCCTCTAGGCGGCCTTCCCTGACCTTCCACAGTCTGCTCCCAGAAACCCTGAGCTCCCCTGATCCCAGGACCGACCACGCTGGGCTGTGGCTCGGTTTGTTCCCCTGCCTTCCCCGTGGAGCAGCCGCTGGCACTGTGCCCCACACACGGTGGACGCCCCGGCCAGGTCTGGTCAATGAATGAGCCCAACCCTAGTTGCGACCAGAGCCCCAAGCGCTGTGAGGGTTGTTTATGAAGAAGGCTGCTTTTTGTAATTCAGCTGAATTTGACAACTCCACCCGCGGATGCCGGCGCTCCTTAACGCCATTTTAGAAGGGGAGAAAGCGCCCCCCACCCCACCCCACCCCAGCCCCGCTGCTCACGACCCTGCGGGGTCTCGCCGGGGCCAACAAGGAACCCAAGGGCGGTTATCCTAACAGAGGCTCTTTGGGAGGTGGGCAGGCCCTCCCCACTGGAGTCTCAGTCGTGGCCGATTTCTCGATCGCACACCGTTATTCGGGAGGCTACTCACCGCCAGTCCCAGGGAGCATTCAGCTGGGAGAGCGCGGCCCGGCCAGGGGCTGCCACACCTCCGGCCCCGGAACAAAGCGCCCGCGCGGACGGGCCCCCTCCCCTCTCCTCCTCTCTTGTCCCCGGCGGCCCCGACCACTCACCGCACGCTCCAGCCCCGGCTGGGCTCTGGCCCTCAGGTCGCCTCCTTCATGCTCCAGCCGGACTGAC